GATCTTAGATTATGGATCGGCTTCATAGTAACAACACATGGTCAGCACCTCATAAGGAACATTCATGCCATGTTTGGTTTCATTCCATTCAGTGGTTCTCTAAAAGAAGACATTTGTATGTATTTCCCATAGGCTCCTATGTTAAACTAAGTCCCCCGCTGGCGGCCATCTTGGATGATGGATCAACTTCAAAGTAACAACACTTGGTCACCACCTCATAAGAAACATTCTTGCCATGTTTGGTTTCATTCCATTCAGTGGTTCTCTAAAAGAAGACGTTTGTATGTATTTCCCATAGGGTCCCATGTTCAACTAAGTCCCCCGCTGGCGGCCATCTTGGATTATAGATCGGCTTCAAGGTAACAACACTCGGTCAGCACCCCTTAAGGAACATTCTTGCCATGTTTGGTTTCATTCCATTCAGTGGTTCTCTAAAAGAAGACGTTTGTATGTATTTCCCGTAGGGTCCCATGTTAAACTAAGTTCCCCACTGGCGGCCATCTTGGATTATGGATCGGCTTCAAAGTAACAACACTCGGTCAGCACCTCATAAGGAACATTCATGCCATGTTTGGTTTCATTCCATTCAGTGGTTCTCTAAAAGAAGACATTTGTATGTATTTCTCATAGGGTCCCATGTTAAACTAAGTCCCCTGCTGGCGGCCATCTTGGATTATGGATCGGCTTCAAAGTAACAACACTCAGTCAGCACCTCATAAGAAACATTCATGCCATGTTTCTTTCAATCCATTCACTGGTTCTCTAAAAGAAGAAATTTGTATGTATTTCCCATAGGGTCCAATGTTAAACTAAGTCCCCTGCTGGCGGCCATCTTGGATGATGGATCAGCTTCAAAGTAACAACACTCGGTCAGCACCTCATAAGGAACATTCATACCATGTTTGGTTTCATTCCATTCAGTGGTTCTCTAAAAGAAGACATTTGTATGTATTTCCCATAGGGTCCTATGTTAAACTAATTCCCCCTGCTGGCGGCCATCTTGGATTATGGATCGGCTTCAAAGTAACAACACTCGGTCAGCACCTCATAAGAAACATTCATGCCATGTTTCGTTTCATTCCATTCACTGGTTCTCTAAAAGAAGACATTTGTATGTATTTCCCATAGGGTCCTATGTTAAACTAATTCCCCCGCTGGTGGCCATCTTGGATTATGGATCGGCTTCAAAGTAACAACACTCGGTCAGCACCTCATAAGAAACATTCATGCCATGTTTCGTTTCATTCCATTCACTGGTTCTCTAAAAGAAGACATTTGTATGTATTTCCCATAGGGTCCTATGTTAAACTAAGTCCCCCCCTGGCGGCCATCTTGGATGATGGATCCGCTACAAAGTAACAACACTTGGTCAGCACCTCATAAGGAACATTCATGCCATGTTTGGTTTCATTCCATTCAGTGGTTCTCTAGAAGAAGTTCAAAATGTAAAAAGTTAATGACGACGACGGACAACGCCGGACGACTACGGATGACGGACGACAAGTGATGAGAAAAGCTCACTTGGCCCTTCGGGCCAGGTGAGCTAAAAAAGGATATTTCATGAGGTAAACAATTTTTGAAACTGGAATATTGATGAAATTTGGGTCAGTGTGGTCACCTTGCCAACATTTTGTAGTTTGTCAAATCATTGAACACTGGTTTCATGTTTTACTTTTAATTGTTGTGGTCAGAAATCATAACTTAAGATGATTGTGTCTGCAGGAAATGATCATTTTAAAGATCTATATTTCAATGATGTTCTCAAAACAATTAACATTTAGGCAAAAAAGACTTACAGTGTATGTTCACTGGTGTTAATATGTCTTTTGATTAAGCTAAGCCATTTCAATTGATATTTTATAGTGTGTCTTTCTATGTTGTGATGTTACACTATTGTTTCAGATAAGGGTTTGGTACCATTAAAACGTTTAAACCCGCTGCAATTGTTTGCACCTGTCCTAAGTCAGGAATCTGATGTTCAGTAGTTGTCGTTTGTTGATGTGGTTCATAAGTGTTTCTTGTTTCTCGTTTTTTATATAGATTAGACCGTTGGTTTTCCTGTTTGAATGGTTTTACACTAGTAATTTTTGGGGCCCTTTATAACTTGCTGTTCGGTGTGAGCCAAAATTTGGGTCAGTGTGGTCACCTTGCCAACATTTTGTAGTTTGTCAAATCATTGGACACTCGTTTCATGTTTTACTTTTAATTATTGTGGTCAGAAATCATAACTTAAGATGATTGTGTCTGCAGGAAATGATCATTTTAAAGATCTATATTTCAATGATGTTCTCAAAACAATTAACATTTAGGCAAAAAAGACTTACAGTGTATGTTCACTGGTGTTAATATGTCTTTTGATTGAGCTAAGCCATTTCAATTGATATTTTATAGTGTGTCTTTCTATGTTGTGATGTTACACTATTGTTTCAGATAAGGGTGAAGGTTTGGTACCATTAAAACGTTTAAACCCGCTGCAATTGTTTGCACCTGTCCTAAGTCAGGAATCTGATGTTCAGTAGTTGTCGTTTGTTGATGTGGTCATAAGTGTTTCTCATTTCTCGTTTTTTATATAGATTAGACCCTTGGTTTTCCTGTTTGAATGGTTTTACACTAGTAATTTTTGGGGCCCTTTATAGCTTGCTGTTCGGTGTGAGCCAAGGCTCCGTGTTGAAGACCTTACTTTGACATGTCATGGTTTACTTTTATAAATTTTGACTTGGATGGAGAGTTGTCTCATTGGCACTCATACCACATCTTCTTATATCTATTTACAAACTGAAAAAAAAACAGAAATTTCATGATGTGAATAAATTTTGAAAAAAAGGAATATTAATAAAATTTTTGAAAATGGAATATGTATGAAATTTGTTAATTTAATCAAAGAAATATTAAACATACTTCCTGTTTCTTCAGGTTGGATTAAACCATCTGCCATCATGTAATCAGGACCTTCAGGCGAAAAAGATTTACCTAAAATAAATTTAATGATGGAAACATTAAACATACTTGCTGTCACTTCAGCGTGAATAAATCCATCTGCCATCACATAACCATGACCTTCAGGTGCACAAGGTTTACCTAAAATGAATACAAATCATTCTCAAAACTAAAATTAATGTGATGAAAAAGGTTGATTTAAAATGAAATCAAAATGAATTTTGTTTGAAATGGCTATTAACTAAACAAAAATTATTGTCTGATCAATGAAACATAAAAACTCAGGTGTCATTAACAAGACCAATACCATGTCTGGACCTGAGTGTCTACATGCAATTGATTGAAGTAATCTGTTACTCATGCATACTGTGAATTAATTTATTTTCATGGGTACCAATTTTCGTGGTTTAAGGAAAACTCGCATTTTCGTTGATATTTTATTTCGTGGTTTTGTCAAAGTCTGCAATCATTCCTATAGAATATTTGTAGTTCGTTGAACATTGAAATTCATGGTTGCCCTGTACCCACGAAATCCACGAAAATTGGTATCCCACGATCTTGAATGAATCAACAGTAACTGATTATACCCTTTCATTGAAGCCAAGAAAACTTTTACAATGTTCCTTGTACAAAGAGTATTGTAAAATGTGTTAGTAAAGTCATTCCCTTTGATAGATTGCCAAGAAAAATTCTCACTATTGGCGAACTAAATCATTTTTCTTCATGACTACATTTATGTATCTTTTCATCAACAATGAGTTCATGTTCCATATTTACTGATTAAAAAAAAACAAGGCTATATTTTATGAAAAACATGAATGTGTCCATAGTACACGGATGACCCACCCGCACTATCATTTTCTATGTTCAGTGGACCGTGAAATTGGGGTAAAAACTCTAATTTGGCACTAAAATTAGAAAGATCATATCATAGGGAACATATGTACTAAGTTTCAAGTTGATTGGACTTCAACTTCATCAAAAACTACCTTCACCAAAAACTTCAACCTGAAGCGGGACAGACGGATGAACGAACAAACAGACGGATGGATGAACGAAAGGATGAACGGATGAACGAATGGATGCACAGACCGAAAAACATAATACCCCTAAGTGGGGTATAACAAATAATATAATTATACTAAATTTGATATATTTGATTTTTTTTTATATTTTTGGTGTTTTAACGCCACTTTTAAGCACCGCTTTTGGGCTATTTCATGGCGGCCAGTATTTATTGGTGGAGGAAGCCAGAGTGCCCGGAGAAAACCACCGAACTTCGATAGGAAAACTGACAATCCTAGTCAATTAAGATTGGAGTCGAGTGCTTAGTTTCTTTTGTTACCTATTTTGACATCGGACTCAGACTTCTTTGAGTTTTACTGTGCATATTGGCATGGGTTTGTTAATTCTACATTGGCTAGAGGTATAGGAGGAGGGTTAAGATCTCACTAAACATGTTTCATACCAGTGTAATTTTGCGCCTGTCCCAAGTCAGGAGCCTCCGGACTTTGTTAGTCTTGTACGGTTTTTAATTTTAATTCATTTTAATGTTTTATAGTTTAGTGTGACATCAATTTTCACTAACTGGTACACATCTTTGTCTAGGGGCCAGTTGAAGCCCACCTCCAAGTGCAGAATTTTATCGCCGTGTTGAAAACCCATTGGTGGCCTTGCACTGTTTTCTGCTCTTTGACCATTTCCCAATTTCCATTCTCAATTCTATTCATAATAACCTACAAACCTGTTGGTCCTTCTTGGCAAAAATTCACACTGAATATCTGCCTTTTTCACAATTTGAAATAATAACTCTAGCTGCAAAACATTAATAAAATGCTCCGCTGGGGCGCAGCTTGATACGACCACAGAGGTCGAACCCTGAACAGTTGGGGCAAGTATGGACACAACATTCAAGCTTGATACAGCACTGAATTTGGATTGTGATTAAATATTTGACACAGCATAGGCTTCTGACACAGAATGAATGTGGTTTAAGAACTTAAAAAATGTTAATTTACCTATTCAAACCATATCATTATTATTTGCTTTTATATATAAATCAGAAATAACCAATTTAAAATGGAAAATTTTAAAGAAAAAAAAAATCCCTCCACTAAATTTTTTGAACCCCCTTATGATTCATCACCCCCAAACTCAATCCCAGCCTTCCCTTTGTGGTATGGTACCTTGCAGTACAATTTCAGAGAGATCCATACAACTTGAACACAAGTTATTGTCTGGAAACTAGAAAAATGCTTGTTTTTAGGCCCCTTTTTGGCCCCAAATTCCTAAACGTTTATAGCAATTACCCCCAAACTCAAACCCAGCTTTCCTTTTGTGATATGGAACCTTGTAGTACAATTTCAGAAAGATCCATACACTTACACACAAGTTATTGTCCTGAAACTTGAAAAATGCTTGTTTTTAGGCCCCTTTTTGGCCCCAAATTCCTAAACGTTTATAGCAATTACCCCCAAACTCAAACCCAGCTTTCCTTTTGTGATATGGTACCTTGCAGTACAATTTCAGAGAGATCCATACACTTGAACACAAGTTATTGTCTGGAAACTAGAAAAATGCTTGTTTTTAGGCCCCTTTTTGGCCCCAAATTCCTAAACGTTAAGGGTAATTACCCCCAAACTCAAACCCAGCTTTCCTTTTGTGATATGGAACCTTGTAGTACAATTTCATAAAGATCCATACACTTACACACAAGTTATTGTCCTGAAACTAGAAAAATGCTTGTTTTTTGCCCCTTTTTGGCCCCTAATTCCTAAAATTTTGAGGCAATTACCCCCAAAATCAATCCCAGCATTCCCTTTGTGGGATGGTACCTTGCAGTACAATTTCAGAGAGATCCATACACTTGAACACAAGTTATTGTCTGGAAACTAGAAAAATGCTTATTTTTGGCCCCTTTTTGGCCCCTTATTCCTAAACGTTTTGGGCAATTACCCCCAAACTCAATTCCAGCTTTCCCTTTGTGATATGGAACCTTGTAGTTCAATTTCAGAAAAATCCATATACTTACACACAAGTTATTATCATGAAACTAGAAAAATGCTTGTTTTTTGCCCCTTTTTTGGCCCCTAATTCCTAAAATTTTGCAACAATTACCCCCAAAATCAATCCCAGCATTCCATTTGTGATATGGAACCTTGTGGTACAATGTCAGAGAGATCCATACACTAACACACAAGTTATGTCTGGAAGTTACAAAAATGCTTATTTTTGGCCCCTTTTTGGCCCTTAATTCCTTAACTGTTGGTACCAAAACCCCCAAAATCAATCCCAACCTTCCTTTTGTGGTATTGAACCTTATGGTAAAATTTCATGGAGATCCATTCACTTAAACTAAAGTTAGAGTGCGAAAACCAATGTGTCTTCGGACGACGACGACGCCAACGTCATACCAATATACGACCAAAAAATTTTTAATTTTTGCGGTCGTATAAAAATAAAATGAATGGAGACATATCAAAAATTTGTTAGAAAGGTACTAGAAATTGATATTAATTTTTAATAGGAAAGAAATATACATTCAAACCACAATCTGTAAGTAAGAATTTTATGATAAAAAATGCTTAAATCAGTATTCCTGATGTCGAGGACAAGAGACAATTTTCAGTACTCATCCACTTGCCCTTTGGTCTCTGCTACAAAGTTATCTCATTGGCAATCATGCCACAAGTACTCATTTTATTATTGTAAAATATTTGGTAGACAGTTGAAAAATTTGAATGAAATTAAATTTTAGTAAGCACAATGTGTGGGAGAGTACTTATACATCCCAGTTCCTTATATGAAATGACTCTTTACTCAATTGCAGAACAGGATATTTTTTACATTGTTTACTTTAACACTATTTTTGTGAAATTTTATACACTATATTTGGTTGTACAGCATATTTTTGTACCAATTAATATGAAATAAGGTATACCAATTTCCTGATGGAAATTAACATAAATCTTTATCACAGTAATGAAATCTAATTAGGTCATAATCAGTCTATTAGATTAAAAAAAGAAATGTTTACCCTTTCAAATATTTCCTGTTTTACACTATCTTTCTTTCTCTTTATTCTATGGGTCAGTATGTGCATCATGATATTTGCATTGCTTTTGATCTCATCCAAATCATTGTAATACTTGCGGCTGAACACTGTCCAATTTGAAATAATAACTCTAGCTGCAACACATTAAAAATAAAGTGAATGAAGACTTATCAAAAGTTTATTAGAAAGGTACTAGAAATGGATATAAATTTCTACTAGGAAAGAAATATACTTTAAACCACAATCCGTAAGTAAGTATTTAACGATAAAAAATGCCTATATAAGTATTCCTGATGTAGAGGACAAGAGACAATTTTCAGTACTCATCCACTTGCCCTTTGGTCTCTGGTACAAAGTTATCTCATTGGCAATCATGCCACAAGTACTCATTTTATTATTGTAAAATATTAGGTAGACAGTTGACAAATTTGAATGAAATAAAATCTTAGTAAGCGCAATGTGTGGGAGATTCCTTATACATCCCAGTTCCTTATATAATTATATGAAATGAATCTTAAAATTTTACTCAATTGCAGAACATGATATTTTGTTACATTGTTTACTTAAAATGCAATTTTTCTGAAATTTTATACACTATATTTGGTTGTACAGCAAATTTTGTACCTATTAATATGAAATAAGGTATACCAATTTCCTGATGGAAATTAACATAAATCTTTATCACAGTAATGAAATCTAATTAGGTCATAGTCAGTCTATTAGATTAAAAAAATAAATGTTTACCCTTTCAAATATTTCCTGTTTTTCACTATCTTTCTTTCTCTTTATTCTATGGGTCAGTATGTGCATCATGATATTTGCATTGCTTTTGTTCCATCCAAATCATATTGTAATGCTTGTGGCTGAACACTGTCCAATTTGAAAAAATAACTCTAGCTGCAACACATTAAAAATAAAGTGAATGGAGACTTATCAAAAGTTTGTTAGAAAGGTACTAGAAATGGATATAAATTTCTACTAGGAAAGAAATATACTTTCAAACCACAATCCGTAAGTAAGTATTTTATGATAAATAAAATGCTCCGCAGGGTGCAGCTTGATACGACCGCAGAGGTTGAACCCTGAACAGTTGGGGCAAGTATGGACACAACATTCAAGCTTGATACAGCTTTGCATTTGGATTGTGATTAAATATTTGACACAGCATAGGTTTCTGACACAGAATGAATGTGGTCTAAGAACTTGAAAATTTTAAATTGGACATTCACCTATTATGGTCCAATATCCAAAATCTAAATACATGGTTAGATTCAGCATATCAAAGAACCCCAAGAATTCAATTTTTGATGAAATCAAACAAATTTTAATTTTGGACCCTTTTGACCTCAATGTGGACCAAGTTGATAACGGGGCCCAAAAATCAAAAATCTAAATACATGGTTAGATTCAGCATATCAAAGAACCCCATCTATTCAATTTTTGTTGAAATCAAACAAAGTTTAATTTTGGACCCCCATTTGGACCAACTTGAAAACTGGGCCCATAATCAAAAATCTAAATACATGTTTAGATTCAGCATATCAAATAACCCTAAGAATTCAATTTTTGTTAAAATCAAACTAATTTTAATTTTGGACCCTTTGGACCTTAATGTAGAGCAATTTGAAAACGGAACCAAAAATTAAGAATCTAAATACACGGTTAGATTCGGCATATCAAAGAACCCCAATAATTCAATTTTTGATGAAATCAAACAAAGTTTAATTTTGGACCCTTTGGAACTCAATGTGGACCAATTTAAAAACGGGGCCCAAAATCCACAAACTAAATACACGGTTAGATTCAGCATGTTAAAGAACCCCAAGAATTCAAGAATAAAACCCCATTGAAATTGGTCAAGAAATAAGCAATTTTTACGAAGTATCTTCTTTTGCACAATACTGTGCAATTAAATATTTCTTGCTATTGCGCAATACTGTACAATTGACAATTTCTTGCTATTGCGCAATATTGTGCTATTGGATATTTCTTGCTATTGCGCAATACTGTGCAATTGAAGATTTCTTGCTATTGCGCAATACTGTGCAATTGAAGATTTCTTGCTATTGTGCAATACTGTGCAATTGAAAATTTCTTGCTATTGCACAATACTTATTATATAATAATTTACACATCCTGTTTGGTGTGTATCTCCTACCATATCATTATTATTTGCTTTTAAATATAAATCAGAAATAACCAACTTAAAATGGAAAATTTTAAAAGAAAAAAAAAAGGAAAAAAAAAATCCCCCCCCAAATTTTTTGAACCCCCTTATGATTCATCACCCCCAAACTCAATCCAAGCCTTCCCTTTGTGGTATGGTACCTTGCAGTACAATTTCAGAGAGATCCATACACTTGAACACAAGTTATTGTCTGGTAACTAGACAAATGTGTTTTTTGGCCCCTTTTTGGCTCAAAATTCCTAAACGTTTAGGGCAATTACCCCCAAACTCAAACCCAGCTTTCCCTTTGTGATATGGAACCTTGTAGTACAATTTCAGAAAGATCCATACACTAACACACAAGTTATTGTCCTGCAACTAGAAAAATGCTTGTTTTTTGCCCCTTTTTGGCCCCTAATTCCTAAAATATTGAGGCAATTACCCCCATCATCAATCCCAGCCTTTCCTTTGTGGTATGGTACCTTGCAGTACAATTTCAGAGAGATACATACACTTGAACACAAGTTATTGTCATGAAACTAGAAAAATGCTTGTTTTTTGCCACTTTTTTGGCCCCTAATTCCTAAAATTTTAAGGCAATTACCCCCAAAATCAATCCCAGCATTCCTTTTGTGATAAGGAACCTGTGGTGGTACAATGTCAGAGAGATCCATACACTAACACACAAGTTATGTCTGGAAGTTACAAAAATGCTTATTTTTGGCCCCTTTTTGGCCCCTAATTCCTTTACTGTTGGTACCATAACCCCCAAAATCAATCCCAACCTTCCTTTAGTGGTATTGAACCTTGTGGTAAAATTTCATAGAGATCCATTCACTTAAACTAAAGTTAGAGTGCGAAAACCAATGTGTCTTCGGACGACGCCGGAGGACGCCGGACGACGACGACGACGTCATACCAATATACGACCACAAAAATTTTTTTGCGGTCATATAAAAATGCCTATATAAGTATTCCTGATGTAGAGGACAAGAGACAATTTTCAGTACTCATCCACTTGCCCTTTGGTCTCTGCTACAAAGTTATCTCATTGGCAATCATGCCACATGTACCCATTTTATTATTGTAAAATATTAGGTAGACAGTTGACAAATTTGAATGAAATTAAATCTTAGTAAGCGCAATGTGTGGGAGATTACTTATACATCCCAGTTCCTTCAATGAAATGGTTCTTTTTACTTAATTGCAGAACAGGAAATTTTTTTACATTGTTTACTTAAAACACAATATTTCTTTATTTTTATACACTATATTTGGTTGTAAAGCATATTTTGTCCCAATTAATATGAAATAAGGTATAACAATTTCCTGATGGAAATTAACATAAATCTTTATCACAGTAATGAAATTTAAGAAGACCATAATCAGTTTTTTTTTTTGAAAAATAAATGTTTACCCTTTCAAATATTTCCTGTTTTTCACTGTCTTTCCTTATTCTCTTTATTCTATGGGTCAGTATGTGCTTCAAGATATACATCTTTTAATCTCATCCTAATCACATTGTAATACTTGCTGCTGAACACTGTCCAATTTGAAATAATACTTTTAGCTGCAAAACATTAAAAATAAAGTGAACGGAGACTTACAATGTACCAAAAGTTTGTTAGAAATGTACTAGAAATTGATATAAATTTCTACTAGGAAAGAAATATACTTTCAAACCACAATCTGTAAGTAAGTATTTTACGATAAAAAATGCTTATATCAGTATTCCTGATGTCGAGGACAAGAGACAATTTTCAGTACTCATCCACCTGCCCTTTGGTCTCTGGTACAAAGTTATCTCATTGGCAATCATGCCACAAGTACTCATTTTATTATTGTATAATATTAGGTAGACAGTTGACAAATTTGACTGAAACTAGAGGCTCTCAAGAGCCTGTGTTGCTCACCTGTATTTACTGATGCTTTGGAAATCATGTAAAATAAGGTTAAAATCATAATTAATAGTATTAGATATTAGATATTATAATGATACCTAAGATAATAACAAAAAACTGCAAAATTTCTGTAAAATTACTTACTCAGGGCAGCAACCCAACAACGGTTTGTCGGATTCGTCTGAAAATTTCAAGGCAGATAAATCTCAATCTGATGAACATTTTTGTCACCTGTAAGATTTGCTCTAAATGCTTTAGTTTCAGAGATATAAACCAAAAACTGCATTTTACCCCTATGTTCTATTTTTAACCAAGTCAGCCATGATGGTTGGTAGGTGGGGTCATCGGACAAATTTTTCAAACTAGATACCCTAATAATGATTATGGCCAAGTACGGTTAAATTTGTCTCATTAGTTTCAGAGAAGAAGATTTTTGTAAAAGACAACAAAAATTTACGAAAAATTGACTATAAAGGGCAATAACTCCTAAAGGGGTCAACTGACAATTTTGGTCATGACGACTTATTTGTAGATCTTACTTTGCTGGACATTATTGCTGTTTACAGTTTATCTCTATCTATAATATTCAAGATGATAACCAAAAACTGCAAAATTTCCTTAAAATTACCAATTCAGGGGCAGCAACCCAACAACAGGTTGTCAGATTTGTCTGAAAATTTCAGGACAGATAGATCTTCACGTGATAATCAGTTTTACCATGTGTCAGATTTACTCTAAATGCTTTGTTTTCAGAGATAAAAGCCAAAATCTACATTTTACCCCTATGTTCTATTTCTAGCCATGGCTGCCATCTTTGTTGGTTGGCAGGGTCATCGGACACATTTTTTAAACTAGATACCCTAATGATGATTTTGGCCAAATTTGGTGGCCCATGGTTTCAGAGCAGAAGATTTTTGTAAAAAGCTAACGACGACGAAGATGGACGCAAACGACGAACGCCAAGTGATGAGAAAAGCAATTTTTCCATTTGTAAAGGGAACTCTAGAACGGTAAAAGTGATGCCACCAAAATTCAAACTTCATCTGTGTTTTGTGGTAATAAGCATTGTGTATAAGTTTCATAATATTTGGTTGAGTCAAACTAAAGTTAGAGAACGTTTCCATTTGTAAAGGGGCATAACTCTAGAACGGTTAAAGTGACGCCACCAAAATTGAAACTTGATCTGTGTTATGTGGTAATAAGCATTGTGTATAAGTTTCATAACATTTGGTTGAGGCAAACTAAAGTTAGAGAACGGAAACCAATTTTGGGACGTACGGACGGATGGACGTACAGACATACGTACAGACAGACAATGGTAAAACTTAATGCCCCCTCCGCTACGGCGTGGGCATAACAAACTTAACATTGACCAATGACCCATGAAAATGAGGTCAAGGTCAGATGATACCTGCCAGAGAGACATATACACCTAACAATCATTCCATACAACAAATATAGTTGACCTATTGGTTATAGTTTAAGAAAACAGACCAAAACACAACAAGAGTGCACATGCTGAAATGTCTCGCCTTCTTTACTAACCATTGATTTTATGTTGATAGTCCTAAATACAAAGCTTTACTACAAGTAACACATAAACTTAACATGATCCAAGTAAAATGAGGTCAAGGTCAGATAAACCAAACGAGAAATACATGTACACCTTACAATCATTCAATAAACCAAACATAGTTGACCTATTGCTTATTGTATCTAAGAAACAAACTTAACCATGAAAACTTAACATTGACCAATGAACCATGAAAATAAGGTCAAGGTCAGATGATACCTGACAGACAAACATATACACCTTACATTATCCTTCCATACATCAAATATAGTTGATCTATTGCTTTTAGTTGAAGAAAAACAGACCAAAACACAAAAACTTAACACTGAGAAATGAACCATGAAAATGAGGTCAAGGTCAAATGAACCATGCCAGACAGACATGCATATACACCTTACAATCAATTTAGGCATTAAATATAGCTAACCTATTGCTTATAGTATTTAAGAAACAAACTTAACCATGAAAACTTAACATTGACCAATGAACCATGAAAATGAGGTCAAGGTCAGATGATACCTGCCAGACAGACATATACACCTTCAATCCTTCCATACATCAAATATAGTTGATCTATTGCTTATAGTTGAAGAAAAACAGACCAAAACACAAAAAACTGAACACTGAAAAATGAACCATGAAAATGAGGTCAAGGTCAAATAAAACCTGTGAGACTGACATGTACATCATAAAATATTTCTATACACCATTCATAGTTGACCTATTGCATATAGTATAAGAAAAAAAGACCAAAACTCAAAAACTTAACTTTGACCACTGAACCATGAAAATGAGGTCAAGGTCAGATGACACCTACCAGTTGGACATGTACACCTTACAATCATTTCATATACCAAATATAGTATACATACTGCTTATAGTATCTGATATATGGACTTGACCACGAAAACTTAACCTTTTTCACTGATCCATGAAATGAGGTCGAGGTCAAATCAAAATTGTCTGACGGGCATGAGGACCTTGCAAGGTAGACATACTAAATATAGTTATCCTATTACTCATAATAAGAAAGAAATTAACATAACAAAAAATGTTGACTTTATTTTCAAGTAGTTTCCATTCTCAATTTTACTGAACCATGAAAATGAGGTCAAGGACAATGGACATATGACAGACGGAAACTTCGTAACATAAGGCATCTATATACAAAGTATGAAGCATCCAGGTCTTCTAGCTTCTAAAATATAAAGCTTTTAAGAAGTTAGCTAACGCCACTGCCACCGTTGTAGCTGCTGCCGCAGCAGCCGGATCACTATCCCTATTTCGAGCTTTCTGCGACAAAAGTCGCAGGCTCGACAAAAAATATTCAAACACTGACCAATGAACGGTGAAAATGAGGTCAAGGTCAAATAAAACCGGCCAGACTGACATGTACATTGTAAAATATTTCCATACACCAAATATAGTTGACCTATTGCATATAGTATTAGAAAAAAGACCAAAACAAAAAAACTTAACTTTAACCTCTGAACCATGAAAATCAGGTCAAGGTCAGATGACACCTGCCAGTTGGACATGTACACCTTACAATCATTCCATACACCAAATATAGAAGACCTATTGCTAAAAGTATCTGATATATGAACTTGACCACGAAAACTTAACCGTGTTCACTGATCCATGAAATGAGGTCGAGGTCAGATGAAAACTGTCTGACGGGCATGAGGACCTTGCAAGGTACGCACATATTAAATATAGTTATCCTATTACTCATAATAAGAGAGAAATTAACATTACAAAAAATCTTTACTTTTTTTCAAGTAGTCACTGAACCATGAAAATGAGGTCAAGGACAATGGACAGACATGACAGACGGAAACTTCATAACATAAGGCAACTATATACAAAGTATGAAGCATCCAGGTCTTCTACCTTTGAAAATATAAAGCTTTTAAGAAGTAAGCTAACACCGCCGCCACAAAATCACTATCCCTATGTCGAGCTTTCTCAACAAAAGTCGCAGGCTTGACAAAACCTTAACACTGAGAAATGAGGTCAAGGTCCAATAAAACCTGCAAGACTGACATACATGTACATTGTTAAATATTTCCATACACCAAATATAGTTGATCTATTGCATATAGTACAAGAAAACTAGAGGCTCCAAGGAGCCTGTATTGCTCACCATTAGCCATGTCGGTCATTTTGGTTGGCAGGTGGGGTCATCGGACAAAAACTAGATACCCTAATGATGATTGTGACCAAGTTTGGTTAAATTTGTCTCAGTAGTTTCAGAGGAGAAGATTTTTTTGTAAAAGATTACAAAAATTTATGAAAAATTGTTAAAAATTGACTATAAAGGGCAATTACTCCTTAATGGGTCAATTGACAATTTTGTTCATGTTGATTTATTTGTAGATCTTACTATGCTGAATATTATTGCTGTTTACAGTTTATCTCTATCTGTAATAATATTCAAGATAGTAACCAAAAACTGCAAAATTTCCTTAAAATTACCAATTCAGGGGCAGCAACCCAACAACGTGTTGTCTGCATGATT